GCACCCGGCCCACAGGGGGCCGCCGCCTCTGCGACGCCCCAGCCGCCTGCGCCCAGTCCGCAGGGAGCCGCCGCTTCTGCAATGCCCCGACCGCCCGCATCCGGCCCACAGGGGGCCGCCTTCGTCTCTGCTCTGTCCGCACCCGGCCCACAGGGGGCCATGTCTTTGTACTCTGCCCCTGCTTCTTCATCTAAGGCCGTCCTGACCCCATGCCCCAAGGCCCGGACTTCTACCCCCACACAAGTGGACCTTTCTTGGCACTGGTGGGGGCCCAGCAAAGGACCAGCCCGGTTCTCTGTCTCCCGAAAGGGGAGACGGGGACATGCCAGGCGGTCCAACCGCCCTGACCTAGCCCCTTCCTCAGTGTCACCCTCTGGCCCTCATTCTTCATTCCCTTCTCCTTCACCCTTCAGTTCCCATTCCGGTCCCGTGCCCTTCTCATCATCGCCCTCCAATCCCAGTCCCTGTCCCAATCCTGCAGTCCTTTCCTCATTGTTCCCCTCTGGTCCCCATCCTTCCTTATCGTCCTCCAGTCCCCATTCCGGTCTAGTGCCCTCCTCGTTGTTGCCCTCCGTTTCCAGTTCCCGTCCTTGTCCTAGGGTCCCTTCCTCATCATCCTCCAGTCCTTCGCTCCCTTCCTTGTCACCCTCCAGTCCTTTTTCCCGTCCTGCCGTCATTGCCTCATCGCCCTCCAGTACCCGTCCTTGTCCACATCCTGCAGTCCCTTCCTTGTCACCCTCTGATCCCAGTTCCCGTCCACATCCTGCAGTCCCTTCCTCGCCGTCACCCTCCAGTTCCCGTCCTGCGGTCCCTTCCTCGTCACCCTCCGGTCCCAGTTCCCGTCCTCATCCTGCAGTCCCTTCCTTGCCGTCACCCTCCAGTTCCTGTCCTCCGGTTCCTTTCTCGTCGCCCTTCAGTTCCTGTCCCCGTCCTGCAGTCCCTTCCTCGTCGCTCTCCGGTCCCAGTTCCCATCCTCGTCCTGCAGTCCCTTCCTCACCGTCACCCTCCAGTTCCCGTCCTCCAGTCCATTCCTCATCGCCCTCCAGTTTCTGTCCCCGTCCTGCAGTCCCTTCCACCTCGCCCTCCAATCGGCCACCAGGCCCACACCCTACCCAACCTTTCCCTTTTATGTTTCCTGGCCAGCAGTCCCAAAGAGTCCCGTTGCTACCCTTCCCTTTCAGTTCATCTGCCCCATTTCAGTCCCAGTCCCATGTTCCTGGTCCTGTCCCTTCTGGTTCCCCTGCGTTTTGTTTTCCTCCTCGTGCCCCGGGTTTTGTTCCTCCGCCTCCGCGTCCGTTCCCGGGTTCTTTTGTTTTTGGTTCCCATGCTCTGTCCCCTGCTGTGTTTCCCCGTCTGGTCTTCCTGTCTCAGCTCCTGGTGTCTGCTCTGTCTATTTTTGTGCCCTTCCTGTCTGAGTTTTTGGCTCTGTCTGTCCTGTTCCTCGGTTGTCGTTAGTCTGTTCCCTGTCCGGTTCTGCGTCTTGGTCTGTCCGGTTCCTTGGTGGTCGTTCGTCTGTTCCCTGTCCTGCTCCGCATCTGAGTCCTGTCTGCCTGTTCTCTGTGGCCCTGGCAGTGTCCGCGCGTTAGGTGGGGGGTACTGTCAGGGTCAGCCCCCCACTGTGGTCCTTCCGTGCCCCTTCCCCGTTTGACCAGCAGGTGGTGCTGGTCATCCCGTCCTTCACGTCAGTCCTTGTTCTCCCCTGTCTCCTGTCTGGTCTCGTGGCTCAATGTATTA